ATCCCGCCATATCTCTCCTTCCTTCCTTCCTCCCTTCCTCTCCCCTCACTCTCTCCTGTCTCTCCATCAATCCACGTCTTCTCCTTCTTTCTCCTCCAACTCCATCCCCCCTTCCCCCCCCATTTCCATCCATCCATCTTTGCTCCCTCCTCTCTTAATCTCTCTCTCTCTCTCTCTCTCTCTCTTTGGCCTGCTTGCTCTCTCTCTCTCTCTCTCTCTCTCTCTCTCTCTCTCTTTCTGAGTGTGTGATGCTTCAGTGCCCTCTGTATTGTGGCTGCATTGTGCCAGTAGGCGTCGCCGCGACAGCCGTTGTCACGGCAGCATTGTGATGGAGAGGGTGGTGGTGTGTCTGTGTGGGGTGGAGGGTGGAGGATTGGGGGTGAGAAGGGGGGGTGGGGGGGGGGGAGTGTATTACAGTATCAATACCCTGACACTGCGACAAAAAGGACAGCAGCCGTAGCCACATATCACTCCACCTCTGCACTCCTCCTCCTTCGTCGTCTCCTTCCCTCCCTCCTTCCCCATGACCCCCCCTACCCACTCCACCTCCCCCCGAATCAATCCCCCCCCCCTCCTCAAATTGATTTCCCACCATATCTCACTGAATATGTACATATTGATCCTCTCCTCCTCACCCCTCCTCAGCCTCATCCCTCACTCTTTTCTTCCTCTCCCTCCCTTGTTTTTACTCAAACATCTATCAGATTTCATCCCCCTCCATCTCTACACCCCTCACCCCTCCACCCTCACCCCTTATCTAACTCCATCTTACACACACAAACACACACACACACACTTTCCTCGTCTTTTATTTCATCTCCCCCAATTCTTTCTCTCTCTCTCTCTCTCTCTTTCTGTGCCCCCCTCTCTCTCTCTATCACACCTCCCTCCCCATCTCCCTCCCTCACGGCTGTTTCTTTTTTTTTGTTGTTTTGTTTTTTTTTCTGATGTGTGTGTGTGTGTGTGTGTGTGTGTGCGTCTGTCTCACTCACTCTCTGAATATTAATTGGTGCATTTCTGCTGCGGCGGAGAAAACAATCAAAGCGTCAGGGGCGGGTGATGATGCCATTGTGGCAGCCGCAAACACGTACACATATGTACTGTGAGCACACACACACACACACACACACACACACACACACACAGACACAGACAAACACACACACACACACAAGGCCGACACACACCTCGCACAGTTGCAGGGAACGCATCAGGAAACAGAAAATGCATCCATACATGTACGCACTTTCAGACACATATATCTGCTGCTGACATGCAAAATGCGCTCACACACACTCACACACACACACACACACACACACACACACACACACATTGATTTACTGCGCACACACACTGAGACGAGCATGCACTGCACATATGCCAAAGACTTAGTCAGATACACAATGGCAGGCTTACAATGGCTGATCCAGGAGATATGTTCTGCGTCAGCAAAGACATTTGAATTTCCCAGCCAACATTTACCTTCGCACAGAGCACGTCGCATTTAAATGTTAAAAACCGAGGCCTTCAGCTTCCACACAATGCACGCTCGCAATAAAGTGATATTTCTCTCGAAAGTCGGGTTAGAAAAAAAAAAAAGGAAAGACACAAAGGTCGAGGTTACCTTTAATACTTCTTAGATTGATGCTAAAACATCAAAAAGAAAAAACTGTACAAGCTAAATGTGAAGGTGGATATTTCTGTGTATTTAGCAGACGTTTCTGGGCATTCAAACTGTTCTGCATCTCCCTCTGTGACTCTCTTTGATGAAGGCTGAGAGGTGGTAGAAGAGGAGCGTGGGCTTCCTCACTCGACTCGCATCCTATGCCCACGTTAAAACTGGAGAGTCTTTGCATTTTTTGTTGTTTGTAGTTTTTTGCCCTCACACAGAAACAGTGCGCTCACTCACGCAAGCCACTTATCCGAGAATAAGTCGAGGGGGGAGAAAAACAAAGTCTGTGTTTTAAATCAGCCCCAGAGACTTTTTAAAAATGCTGATGTAGACAGAGTGGATAAAAGCCCACGGCGAAGGTCCAGTGAAAATATTTGAGTTAGAAAACTTTTTGAAATGACTTCAAATGTGACCGTGCACTTCTACATCAGCTGGTATCAGATGTATGTTATGAGACTAACTCTTGTCTTAAGGAAACAAATCTTTTGGATGTAACCAAGTTAACCAAAAATTCTTCAATCAGTATCCTGGTCCCAGTTTTAGCTCTAGACTGGATATGAAAAGTGAGAAGTAACCCCTGGATCGCGGCCTCCTAATGCGAGGTCTTGATTTTTTTATTTGGCTTTGCCGCCTTTTTTTTTTAAGCGCTCTAATTCAGGCGCTTGTATCCTTCGAGGGGAGCATTTAAAGACTGATAACGTCACAGTGGTGAATCTATAAGGCCTGCTTTCCCCAGACAATGACGGTGCATCATACGTAGCCCAAACATATCTTGCGCGCTAATTCATGCGAGCTCTGAAGCGTCCTAGAAAGACACTTTTAAAATGTTGGTAATTAGCATCAACTCAATCAAACAGCTAGCGATACTTGTGTTAAAAAAAAATAAACAAAACGGGCCTTGAAACTTCAAATTATTTTTGTATTAGTGACGTGCTGTTAGCTATGTTAGCTAGCGCGGTTGCAGCTAGGGGACGGGACCAGCGCATGGTCGCAAAAGGTTAAGCTGGTGACGCAGTCTGTAGACCAGACGGTCTCATTTCAGTTTGTCCTGAGCGGTCTACACAGGTTACAAAAGGCTGGGCTACCCCTGAATTGGGACGTAGCCATCTGGACGAGAGGGTGAAGCAAGTTAGCGAACTCATTAGCTTAAAAAAGCACAACGATACTAGCTTACAAATTAACTTTAAAAATGAACTACTGTTGTAGTCGAGGGTCGAGGCAAATTAGAAAGACAATATCAGGCCCAAATAATTATAGAAGGAAGAGTATTTACATTGCTTCATTATTTCTAGATATGATCTCTATACCACATTTTCTCTTTGTATCAAACTCTCAGAATCAAGGTCTGACAACGCCACTGTACGCTACCTGTCCAAGTTAGCAGGTAAGGCTAACACGGAGATGTTTTCATTCTAATTAGCTCACTTTCAGGGCAAAAAGGAGAGTTAATATCGGACTATATTAGGCGGTATGATGAACTGCAAAGGACTCACTAAGTTGCTCCATATGTGCAGGCTTTTTGAATAGGTTTTAATGAAGTTTATCACGTCTGAGTAAAGTTTTGCCTCAACACGGTGTCGGTACGTCTGTATATGAAGATTCAGTACCAATAGGGGGGAACAATGATGAGTCCAATTCAGAAACTGTATGTAGCATAAAAAGCAACGACCACAGGAAGTCCACACACATGACCAGTGTTCTTTTCTTGTTCAAAGCCCGAGGCTATTGAAACCAATACCACCGTATCAAAACTGGTATGGTCACTTCAAATGATCCTCAGCAACATAACATCTGAAGCTCCAAGAAAACGTTACACATGTATCACCGCTAGCTTAGCCGTGGTACACAGTCAGAGCTTGCTAAAACAGAACGCAATGAGCTGGTGGGTCAACAACAAGTTTAGGTCGTCAACCAGGTCGACATAACACATGAGCATTGGTGGCTTTTGTAGTTGACAAGCTGCAAAGACTCTGCATCTATCAGTTTTTTTTCTTTTTGAGTCCTTCCGCCTCCAACTGGCGGAAAATCTATCGATATAGCTTTGTAGCTTGGGAGACATTTTTTTTTACTTTTAGCGGTCTCTCCGGGAAATTGCGATTTGCGACCAAATATATGCGCAAATCCAACCAATCTTAAACTTTACATGATGTGACGTAAGAGCTTAAGGTTAAGAGTGGTCTTGACTACGGGTCAATGAGGAGTTCGTTTTCATCTGGGCGTGGGGGGGGGGGAATCACTCCCATGATTCCCCGCTTGCCTCGATATCATCTTTTGTTATTGTTTAGATTGAGAGCCCCCTGGCGGCAGATTTTACATACCGTGCATTTAAAGAACAGGTTACTGACATTTATCAACGTTTTGTGCTCTTTAAACCTAAATAACTCCGCCCACTAAGCATGTTTGTTAGAATTATATTCAACCTACTTAGTAAGGGTACTTAGGACACTAAAACAGTTGCAACTATTTTTGCAAACTCACTTGCTAATCTAGAAAAAAATTAAAGCCTCAAAAACATCAAAACTTTTTTTTTTAAAAGCAGCGGCAACAATCAGGGATTTTATGCCACAACATAAAACTGACAGATGGGAGAGATTGTTTCTGAAATGTGTTGTCAGGGGTCAAGCACCTGCTCCAAACAAACTATTAAAGGGGGTTTAAGAGTATCATGCAGTGAAGCAATAACTTTCATTTTTGATGTTTTATTTTTCCTAACTTTCACTTTGCTTCTTTTTTTTTTTTTTTATTGGGGACCCCCAGGAAACCTCCCTCAGGCACTCCTGGTGGTACCCAGGCCTTATGTTGGGAAGCCTACATCCCAAATATGTGCACTTTGTTTCTCTCCACCCTGAAAGTGGCCATGTGCTTCCGGGGGTGGTTCACCACAACATTTAGGCTGCCTCTTGTCCCCTGTCATCACTTTAAACACACTTCAATCAGTGTGAAACTTTTTTTCCCCCCTCTTCTTCTTCTTCTACAAAAAAAAAGAGAAAAAAAATGTCTCTTCTTACTGTCAGCTACCCGCCACCCCAGATGCCATATTTAGGATACAAATGTGAAGAGATGACAGCGTTGTAAAATGGTGCCCGTGCTGAGATTATAATTAACATTTCCAACCTACATCACTCTCCCTCCCACTTCTCTTTTTTTTTTTTTTTTTTTTTTTTCTCTCTCTCTATTCACCAACTCCTCCTGTAGCCTACAATAAATGGGAAAAAATGCAAGAAAAGGAGAGAAAGGGAGAAGGGAAAAGAAAAGAAAAGGGAGATGGAGGAGGACAAGGAGGAGGAGAGTGAGAGAGAGAGAGAGAGAAGAGGGTGACCAAAGAGAGGGGAGGAGGGAGGGGGAAACGGCGTATGCTTGTATACAACCCTGATTTCCATTTTTTTCCCAACTCGTAATGTATTTAATTCAAGTGAAACGTAATCATGACGTGTCGTGTCATTAATCTCCTCGCCGCCTCTCCCGTAAGTACACTGAGTCTTTACTTTCAACATATATCCTATATCTCCACACATCTAGTTTAATTTAATCCACCACTCTGTTTACTCTGTTTACATGTACACTTTTATGCATGGTGGCGTGAAACACTCGGGGATGAAACATTTCCCAAAAATTGTTGAATTTATTGCGACTGTTGTTGCCCTTTTTCTCTCTCTCTTGCTCACGAGCAACACTCGGGGATAATGGCCAATTTTGTAGTTCTTGTTGTTGTGTTTTTTTTTAATTTCTCAGCCAGCTTTTCTTTTTTTTGGGGGGGGGTGGGGGGGGAGAGATGTGTGAGCTAACACGTGAAGCTACAGACGTGCATGTATGTATGTTACCGTGCGCTCCGGACCACTTTACGTGTGTGTCATGTATGTAAGCCGGTGTATGTGCTGCGTGTGGCCGACATTCATGTAGCACCCCCCCCCCTCACTCCCCTCCCCTCCTCCTCCCCGTGACATGACAAAAAAAACGGGAGAAATGTTGCTGTTTTTCTCACTATAATTCCGGTTTAACACGCGGTATAAGTCGATTCGGGAAGTCAAAGAAGAGATGAAAGGGCGACTTTTAAAATGGTTGCAAGTGCACTGAAAAGTCACTCGGGAAGTGGTGAAAGATGTAGTCTTTTAAAATTCGCGTAACTTTAACCCAAGTTGTGGTGAAGCGAGGAGATATTTCTATCCACATGGAGGGACGAAACTCCTCTCCGTTTTTTTTTTTTTTTTTTGGTAACCTCTCTTTGGAAAACGACCTAAAAAAAAAAAAAAAAAAAAAGAAAGTAGCTTTTTGGCTCGCTATAAGTTCTCGGTGCGTAAAGCGTAGATTTTGAGAAGCAGCAGACATATTGTCCGGGAGTAAAAGTGGATTTTTTTTTTTTTTTTGCATGTTGGCAAGTAATTTGTGGGTAGATGCGATTAGCTTGACTAATTCTTTTGTTGGACTCGCATTAAGGCATTGTGTTGTGTGCATTGTTTTCGAGATAAGCACCGTCACTTTGATGTGGGATGTGCGCACCAAAACGCATCCGCAGGGCTGCAAATAGTCCCTTAAAAAACCTTATATAGCCTACTGTCCGTCCCCCCCCCCCAACCTTTTACTACAATGTTTACTACAAGCCCGTTTACTTGTCCTAACATCACCTCCAAGCTCAGAAAGTAGCATAGCAAGTGTGGCATGCAAACGTTGTAGTCGTGTGTGTGAGTGTTGCCAAATTGTATTCTGCATAGAGAGAAGTTGCCGGTTCTGTTAAAAAAAAAAGAGCGTTTTTGGACAAGATGTCGCTTTCTTTTTTTTTTTGGGGGGGGGGGGGGGACTGATGTCGGTCTGCGAGATTGGCAGAGGATCCAAGATGAAAACCATGATGGCACTTTTTTTTCCTCCTTCCTCCTCCCGTCCTCTCCCCTCGCTCGCTCACTCGTCTTTTTCCCCTCCCTTAATCTTTTGTATAGAAAATTTAAGAACAAAATGGAGCAGGGGAGAGAGCGATAGATAGGCTGACATGACACACACGCCACCCCCCGACTTCCAAAAAAAAAAAAACTACGTCCCCACTGTTTTCTGATGTTTAATCGCGTTTTTATTTTCGGACAAGCATCTGCGAGCAGGGGTTAATCTCATCTTTTTTTTTGAGAGATGGTGGGTTGTTTATTAGTGCATTGTTTAGTTGATGGTTATTTATTTCATTAATGTGCCTCTAATTGAGATGGCCGCGAGAGAGAAGAGGGGAAAAGAGCGACTGAAAATGGTTGCACGTTATTGACGCACATCACAGGGGCGAGGAGGAAATTCCTCATGAGATAAGGCGCAGACGTGTCATCTGGGTTGACCGAAGAGACACTCCTGTCGCCCTTTTTTTCTCTTCTGTATCCAGAGGAATATGTTTAGGGATCCTGAAATGTCCTATTTTTAAATCCGCCAGAAATGTCACACTTTTGATTTTGAGAGAGCGAGTGCACAGTGAGAAGTAGGTTGACATTGCTGTCTTGTCCTATAAACAGAGATGTTGTGAAGGGCTCTTAAACTCTGTTTACTTCATCTCTCATTCGAGCATTTTTTACAGTTAATCAACTGAAGACATGTTGCTTTAATCGTAGATACATAAACCACATGTTATTTGCTTATCTGCTCAAAAAAAGGTGGAAAAAAATCCATAAAAAAACTGTAAAGATTCTTGTTCAAATCTTTGCTTTTCATTGGATATTTCCCCACAGAGACTTTTAAAACTCTAAATCTTAATCCAAAACAAACTTTAAGACGCCACATAATATAGAATTTCTAAAAGGAAAAGAATCCTCTTCCTTTTCTAAAAAAAAAAGTATCCCCCTCCTCCGCCCCTACCGGGTGTCTCCTTCTTCATCTAAGATGCTGCTTCACATTGTGGACACTCAACACTCAAAAAAAATCTACTGTACTCATGCGTTATATAGTGTCCCCATGTTTAAAAAAAAAAAACGGGTCTAATGGTTTTGCTTCATTCAGACCTTTTTTTTTTTTTCTTCGCTATTTGTGCTCAAGTAGTGTCCTCCTCCCCCAATCTTTGTACACACTGTACTGTACTTGAAGGGGCACATACACCCCATCCAGGTGGCTCTTAGGGAAGAGAAAGACACAGAGGGAGAGAGAGTAAAAAGGAGAGGAGTGTAGCACCAATCAAGGCTTCTGATTGATATAATTGGGTCATTAGTGCGCTGCGGGAGAGGCACCTGCTTGCCCTCGGTTAGGCAGAATCTACTGCATTGTGACATTTTGAGACTGTTGAGAGTTCTGCTGCCTGCTCGGGATTAGCGTGTATTTAGAGCATTAGGGTCTTACTTAAATAGTACGCCACTTGTGCCACTTGTGTCGAGTTGGCAGACCAGTTTTCCAACCGATTTTTTTATTTTTTTTTACCCCACAGAGGCCGACCGACAGGTACATGGTTTAATTCTTCTACTGTTTTTGTGCTTGACTTCATAGCAAAAGCGAAGCGAAGCAGTTCAAACTACCATCGGAAAGGTGGGGGGGGGCGGCTGTGAGTAAAAAAAAAAAACCAGCAGGTCAAGCACAACACAAGAGCCGAAGTGGTCGAAACACCTCGATGCTGTGAGGCCTAAAAGAAGAAGAAGTTTAACCCCCGTTTATTAGTTTGAATCCGTGGGTGAATGGATGTGACCAATTTCCCTTAAACTTTCCAAAACTGGAAATGTGACAAGTGCGCCCATTTTGGGAAGGCCTGTAAAAGTTAGAGAGAGGGTAAAGCAGTTTCCCACGCTCTCTTCTTCATTCTTTACACATGTATTTTCAAGCTTTTAATCCTGTGAATATCCCTGTTGTTGTTTCGTCTTGAAGTGAATCAAAATGTTTTCACTTTTATCCCAATGTTAAAGCGATTATTAGCGCCATTTCCCTCCTGATGACGGCCGGCTTTTCCCGCTTTTCAGAACAGCTATGGATTCTATACGGTTGTATATATTTTTGGTCGACCCCCCCCCCCCGCTGCCTTAATTTGAAGGATTTGTCTTGATTGATGTTCTGTCTATAAGTGCAAGCAACAAAAACTAGTGTTGACACCTTCATGAAGTTGTATTGGGAGCGCATTAAGAAGGTGTAACCAAAAAAAAAAGGAAAAAAAAAGAAGAGCACATGCTCTGCAAATTTCCCCAGGGGGTGAGTTAAAGAATCATCCCGTGTTAACAGTTTCTATTTTCTCTATAGGTGCTCACATGTCTGATCTGCGGTACACATATTCCACAAGGAGGTCGCAGTGTTGGGGTCAGCATCTCAGGGGGATTGGGGGGGAGGAGTTGGTATCTTCATCAAGGACAGTTGTTACCAAGCGGGTTTGGAAGCATTTTCATATTAAGAATGTTTTGGGTATTTGAGTGACAGATTCAAGTACTCATTGGGAAATTTGATTAGAGATTTAAGACATCATGCTCTTCTTTTTCTCTCAACCCCCTGCAGGTGATCTTCCAACGTTCAAAGATAAAACACAACTCGCCGCTTTTGCCTTTCGCATGCTCCAAACCCAATTCTTCTTTTTAAGGCCTCGGAGTCTCGAATCAAGACGAGTCAGTCGACGCCTCCGCTCATTGGTTTAGACACAGCGCGGCCCGTATGACTCCGAGCGAGGGAGGCCTCGTTTTCTCTGCTAGCCGTTGCTGTGATGTTTTTTTACGATTCGCTCGCTCAGATCTCCCCAGTTTGGCGCTTTTTGCAACTGCTTTGGGTGAAGTGTCTGCTTGTGTTCTCAGCCCGAAGGAGGAATTCATTCAGAAAGACGCAAGAGGAGATGGAGAGTAGAAAGCGAGGAAGAAGAAGAGATCGGGGAAGGTTAGAGGAGAGGAAGAAAAGGGATGGTGTTTAATGTGAGAAAAGGTGGAAGTGGGGAATGTTGGCTTGTGTTCTCAACTGAAGGAGGTCTTCATTCAGAAAGAGCAGGAGGGGATGAAGAGGAGAGGAAGTAGGAAGGTTTGGCAGTAAATGCCGGAAAAAAAAGCGGTAGGATAACGTTAAATGTAGAGAAGGAAAAAGTGGATCAAGAGGTGTAGGTTTCAGGTGTCAACTTTTTTCTTTGCCTCGCTCACAAAATATAAAAAAAAGACAAACCACTTATCAGTCTGTAGCCTTCTGAAGGACGATTCTTTCCAACAGCACGAGTGCCAGGTAACCTCGTTTTCAAGGTAGACTTGCGGCCTTTTTTATTGGCCCGAAAAAAGAAAAAGTCAGAGCAAACTGATTCACAGACGTCGCACTTCCTGTACCTGTCATATCTTAACAGTAAGTGGTAGAGGCACAGTGGGAGACGTTTTTTTTTATCATTGCTGGAGCTGAAGATGGGGGGGGGGAGCGCGAGCCAGACAAAGTTGGTGCGAGGCAGTGAGTGAAGCAAGGGGGGGTTCAGGGAAAGGTGAAGTAAAGGAAATGAATACCGTCTGTGGGGAAGTCGGCCACGTGACCACGGGATAAAAACCACAGGGCCAAATTATACTGTACCGCACAGAGAGCTGACTCCCCCCCCCCTTCTCTTCCTCCTCCCTCAAGTCGCTCATCCTCGCTTTTCCCTTACACATTCTTTGTGGTCAGTCTCACATACAATCATCCCCCAAAGGACACCTCACCTCGCGCCGACTTCATCACATGACAGTTGGAGTAATAAGGTTGAAAGAAACGATGCACTTGTGAGGACACAAAGAAATACACACAGCTCCGAGGATCCAGGCCCGAGACCTTGGAAAGGCTTATTTTTAAGGGTCATAGAGAAGGACACAGGCAACAAGGAGACAAACACTACAAGAAGGTAGTTCAAGTACATAGTTTGATTCTTGGTTGTCTCTAATATCCAGGGTTTCAAACCTATAGACTTAAGGCCCAACGATGGGTCACATTAATCCTAAATCGCAGAATCTCGTGAAGAAGAAAAAACATGTTTGCCATTCAAAATATTTTTGCCCATCAGTCCAAATCCAAATCTCCCAAACAAAAGGTTTTCGACTCGGGAAGCGATGGCCTGATTCAAGGGTGCAGTCAGAAAGTTATTTAGATAACTTTTTTTTAACACTGTCCCCCAGACTTTCTGTTTCCACGTTGGCTGACATTTTTTGACAATGTCAAGCAACATGTACGCATTGAGATGCGAGATTTGGGATGGAGTTGAAAGGACGACCTTGACCCTGATCAATTGAAGAGGCTTCAGGATACATGTGAGGAATCATAGCCTTCAGACAAAAACAGATTGTGGATCATTTTGGACAAAGACTGTGCAAAACTGTTGGATCTCAATGTAGTTTCTTACCTGGGCTCACAGGGGAAACGACATACCGTGCATATTTTTGCATCCAAATCCATAGTTTAATTTTTCAAGTATTCGATCCATGATCCATTTATTCTATAAAACCTACTGTTAGTGTTTTTGACCTTACAGTGAAAATCCAAATGCCCATGTTGCCAGACAGTAAGCTGAACTTTGTGAGCAGACGGCTGTTTATAGAAATGCCTCAAAAAGCTTAAATGTTGTCGGATAAAACCGTTAACGGCGATGGGTTCTCGTACTTCATTATGGCGGATTGCGTCCAGCGTCTTCCCGCTCCAAGGGTTCTCTTTAAGACGGTCAACACCTGCAGAAACCCTAATGGACAATAAGACTGCGACTACGAGCCACAACCAGAACATTTCAAACACCCAAAAATCTTGTCCCTCAATTACAGTTTGTGTTTCCCTTTGTTTATAGAGATTATGTGTTCACAGACTGAACTCTGCAACCAGGGGCGAGTGCAAAATGGTAAAAGACTTAACCGTTTGGAAAGGCACAGCTTACAACACAATGACACTCATATCATTAATATAAAGCTCAACAGATATGGTGCTTCCTGCCCACACACACACACACATGCACTCTATTGAAGTCACAAAGTGAAAGGTGTTCACACCCTCACATTTACAATTATGATGTGTTTTGTGCCGGCGTGTACGGACCTGCACTAACTGCTTTCACAATGAAAGCGTATCACTCACTGGATGTTTACACAATGACTTACAGAAAAAAAAAAAGAAAAAGAAACTTGTCTGAACATATTGTGCTCCGATTCCCTTTGCAACTATTTTTAAGGGAAGTGATGCATGACTCAGCAACCCCTAAAACCCCCCCACCCCCCCTGCTTGACACACACCTTGCAACACAGTTGTCGGAGTAGGTGTAAAGTTTTTTAAACAATGCTTATTCTTTGAGAGGAGTGGCTACAAAAAAAAAAAAAGACAGTTGACATATTGACCTCTATCGTAAAAACTCATTTCCAGAGAAGGTAAATGAGGTCTTTGAATCTCATATTTCAAGTTACGCTGCAATTACCGTAATGAAAACAACCACAGCTAACGCTTAACACGACGACCATATGCTTTTAAGCTGTCATTACAGTGCGGATGGCAACGTCGTTAACACTGAATGCAATTTCATCGACAGAAATGCAGAGGTAAACAACTCGGTGAAAGAGCAGGAGAAATGCTTCTTTTTCTTCTTTTTTTTTTGTCCCTCCCTTTTCAACATTTGACTCCGCTCACATTTGCACCTTGACATTAAAAATGCATTTCCTCGGCGTGCTTTTAAAAATCAGGTTTTTCTCCGTGCCTTTTTGCAAAACTGCAGCATGCATCACTTTCTTCTACAGCATTCAAGTCTTCTAAAAAAAAAGTGACAGTTAACACCTTGTCGAGGAACCCGAATGAGCTATTCATGTGTGATTTCTTTTTTTGGAGTGCAGTTGCCTATAAAAGCACGGCAATTTGCACATTTGGAATGAATGTGTTTGGAGGTTATGTGGACAGATGTATGTAGGACCATGTCTGGGGGGGGGGGGGGGTAATGTAGGAATCTGGATCTTCACTGCTTCCTTGTTTTATTTACACCTGGTTTTAATGTGCTTCTGCTCCACCTGTTCCAATCTGATTTGTGTCCCTCAGTCGCCCCTTCCCCCCTGCATCCTTTTGCTGCACCTTATCTCCCTCTCTCCATCTATCCAAATCGTCTTTATTGGCATGACAGGGGCCGGTGGGTTGGCGACGGCCACTGTCACGCTGGAACAATGCATTGTGATGCTGATATTCATATGATAATTCCATCAGACTTAACACTGCTGCAGATACATTTTGCACCCAGTCCTTTCTGTTTCTCTCTCTGTGCATACGTCTTTGTGTTGACTTTCTCTCAAATGATTTTTCAAATCTGTTGTTCTTCTCTTCATGTTATGCCCCAGCCTGCCACTCCACCGCTCTGATTTCTCTCCCAATTCTCTGTTCCAGCATGTCCGTCCCGTTACCTTTATTTCCCCCCCTCAACACCACGCTGGCAATCACGTTAAATCATTTTCATTCACATGGCTTCTGACAATGTGTGGTGTTTTTTTTTTTTTTGTTGTTTTTTTTTTTTTTTAAACGCTGCCCAGTTTTCTAACTGCACTGTGTTTCCCTCTGTCTCTCTCTTTCTTTCTCTCTGTCTGCCTCCTTTCTCATTTTTTGCTCTTCGCCATGTTGGCAGGGCCCAATCTACCAGCTGATATCAGCATTCCCTGGCACGCCGCCAACTGGCAACACTGCAGGAGAGAAAGAAAGAGAGAGAGAGAGAGGGAGAGAGAATGAAAGAAAATTAGTGAATAATAGACGGAGGGAGGGAGCGAGAGAATGAGAGGGGGATGGGAGGAGTATGAATCAGGGAGAGAAAGAAAGACAGAGAGGGGGGGAAAGGGAAGACAGGGAGAGAAAGAACAATAATGGTGGATTAAGAAGGGAGTCTATGTGTGAGAGTGTGTGTCTGTGCTTGTGTGTGTTTATGTGATTGATATGGTGTGATATCCCTGTGAGTCATAGCCGAGCTAAAATGTCAACTGGCTACATGAGAATCTCTTTGTCATCCAGGCTCAGTGACACTCGCACACACACTCTCACAAACACAAATCCAACAGATCTTATAAACACATATGTGAACATAGCCGCCGCGTGAACACAAATATGGGCGTCACACCTGCGAACACAGATGTTCCATTGTTTTTTTTCACCACAATGATTGATGACCTTTTGTTTTGTTGTGGGCGCTCTCTCTGCTGCTTCTCAACGCCGCCGAATGATGGACGGAAAAAGAGCCGATGTGCATAAATCCACTCGAACTCGTGCAAACTGCTGTGCACTCAAAATATTTTTTGGGCGTGTGAGCGTGGCCTGCCAAAAATGCTTGTGTGTGTGTGTGTGTGTGTTCAATATGCTGTATATCACACTTTACATTTTAGCTGACTCTGTTTATCTGGGGGGGGTGACGGGTTGCAGTGCAATCAACAAAACATTGGAATGAGCTTACATTTGTACTTAAAGGAGTAACCATGACTAAGCAGTGTGCGGGTCAAATCCACCACGCCCCAAGTCGCAGATTTAACAAATATTTCTGTGCATAAGTGCGTCCAATCTGTGTGTGTGTGTGTGTATGTGTGTGTGTGCATTTAGCAAAAAGCTGCTACTGTATGAGTGTACAGGAAGGGTGTGTGGGGAAGTCAAAACATTGCGCGCCCATCCTGTTTGGGACAGTCCATGTCCTGTGGTGGGTGCCCTTAAACTCCTCAACACACACACTCTCACACACACACACACACACACACACAGATACACACCAGTGCAGATTCACACTCCGACTAATCATCCCATATGCTGCTAACAGTAGGCTATGCTGGAGCGCTCAGTGAACACATGCAGAAGGAAGAACAGGTGCACACCTGTTACATGTTGAAGTGGAACGCATACGCCCACGCACAGTGAAGAGGAAATGAAGATCAAAATGCAGATTTTACTTTGTACTAAGCATTAACATGCATTTAAAGGATGCCGTAATGAGCATGCATTTGATTTGCTGGAATTAGCATTTGTCATAAAAATACATTCAAAGAGTCTGGGTGCAAGTTGGCTTTCATCCTGTTTGACAGAAGTCTGCTACCTGCAGTTCATTGCTCGATATTTCAAAAGCACTCACCTGCAATCACACTGAAAAAAAAGTTTTTATCTAGTATATTGGAGCATCATAAGGTGCAAAAGTGTGCTTTTTTTAGGGGCCCCTGATGGCCTATCGTGTTAGGTTGAGCCCCATGTACAGAGTCATATAGTCCTCCAAGGGACTGGCTTGGGATCAAGTCCGTCTTGCGGCTCCTTTTCCCTCAAGTCGTTCCCCACTGTCTCTCCCGATTTACTACTTGATCCACTGTCCTTTTTAAAAAAAAAAGGTCAAAAATAATTCTTATAAAAACTGCCTCTTACAACTTAATTTCAAGTGCATCATTATTGGATTGTGTGATAAGAAATAATCCAGACTAAAGTCCCATTAGTCATCATGGTGTCATCTGGGGTTTTATTTTTGCTTGTTTTTGTCCCCAGAAAATTAAAGGAGGAGGCTGCCACAGAAGTGCGTCCCCAATCAGCCAAGACACTAAAGAATGGCATAACATCACACGCACTGCTGGTAATCCTCACCCTTCTAATACACACTCACATACATATATACGATGCATTCAAACCAGACACAGACATTGTAACCAACTATGCAAACAATTGCCATTTGATTCTGTCTATGTGTTTGGTTGTTGTTTTCTAGATCTGGTCAAGGTCGTAGCAGTCGAGGATAAAAATGCACAAATGCAAATTTAACCTTTCCTCTTGTTTTTTTTTTTTTTAAGCCTTCTTAAGTCATCTGCTCCACTCACTATCTGCCTCTCTCCTTCTGTTTTGTGTTTTGCACTGATAGAGGATGGATTCTCCACCAGAGTGTGTGCTGTCTCTTTCTTGTGAGCAGCCCCAGTCCCCCCCTACACTGCCATCCCTGGACCACAGCCCTCAGGCCTCCTCTCCTCACACCCTGCTCTCTCTACCCGACAGCCCCGTTGCACTGCCCATTCAAAGCCCCGAACCTTCCCCTCAAAGCCTGGACATCACACCTTATTTCCCCCTCTCCCCTTTTCCCCTTCAGGAGGATAACATCAATCAACCTGAAATTGATGAAGAAGACGAAGAGGAAGGGCTGGATGGAGTTCCTCCATCCCCAACCCCGGCGGTTGCTTTGTTCCCAGGAGGAGGAGGGGGACAAGACGCTGCATGCAGCCCTTGTTTGGACTCCTCTCCTCCTGCCACACCGTCAGCGCCAGTCCTCGGGTTCGGAGCCCTGGAGCTCGCCCTCTCATCAGGGCAAAGTGGAAACTGCAGCGACGAACTAGACCTCCAGTTGTTCCAGAAAGATACCGTTACCCGGGCGACACCTGGAGTTGGGGGGGCCTCATCAGGACCTGCGCTCAGGTTTCCCTGTCACGTTTGCGGGAAGAGATTCAGATTCCAAAGTATTTTGTCCCTTCATGCCAGAGCTCACAGTCTGGACCGAGACCGCCGAGCCACAGCCCTGTACCGGACTGGACTCCCCTCAGCGCCGCTGAAGCAGCACCTGAAAATCCAAAAGAACCACAAAGACTTAATCAAGAATCACAGAAGTCCCTCAATCCAGCGTTTACTGCCGGGGACTCTTATCCAGCATCTCACAGAAGAAGAGGATCTTGATGGTGAAGTCAAAGCTCTAGATGATGGCCAGACAGACCAGAACCCAAACTATTTACTGGATGACAGCACACCGCTGACCCCTCCACTCACAGAAGACCCCATTTCTGTGACCTCTCCCTATTCTGCTACTATTCTGGAATGCGCGTCCACTCCCATAGCACCTACGTTCCGCTGCCACGCTTGCAAAGGAAAATTCCGCACGGCCTCGGAGTTGACCCGCCATGTCCGCATTCTCCACAACCCGTATAAATGCACTCTTTGTCCTTTCTCTGCCAGCCAAGAAGAGAGCCTTGCGTCTCACTTGCAGGAGTGCCACCCTTCCCCTGACATACCTGCCCTGCCAACAGCCTTCAATTCCCGGCCAGTCATCGCGACCCCCGACACTCCTGTTCCCACCCCGACGCATACCCCGGCCCCAACCCCAAGCACCCCACAGCAGACGCCGGCTGCCACAGCGGCTGCATCCGCCGCACTGCCAGCGTTTCGATGTGAAACTTGTGGACAGAGGTTTACCCAGTCTTGGTTTCTGAAGGGACACATGCGTAAGCACAAGGATTCTTTGGACCATAAGTGCCAGGTATGTGGCCGTGGCTTCAAGGAGCCTTGGTTCCTCAAAAACCACATGAAAGTACATCTTAACAAACTCGGGCTGAAGGCAGGGCTGGGAGGCCTCGGGGGGCCAGGAGGCGCTGATCACCAGGCCAAAGGCTCTGCTGCTAATCAGTCTCTCAACGCCCTCTATTCGAGCCTTCTTCTGGCCCAGCGAGGAGGCGGCAGAGGTGGACAAGGTCGATCGGAGAGGGAAACTGGAGGCAGAATCGGATTGGGCTCGAGCAAGTCCGCCATCTTAGGCTATCTGGGGTTGCCTAGTGATGGCAGTGGAGCCAGCTGCATGGAAAGACTTCAAGCAGTGGCTCAGGTGGCAGAGATGGGAAACGGTGGTGGTGGTGGTGGTGGCGGCAGTATTGGTGGATCAGGAGGAGGGGGTGCAACTAGAGGAGGGGGTGCGGGTGAAGCTACAGCATCAGTTTCAGAGGGAGGGGACCAGGCAACTTGGTGGCAGTTGGTGGCTCGCAGCTTGGCAGTAGCCCAGCAGCAGCAGCAGCAGCAGCAGCAGCAGCAACAACAACAGCAGCAGCAGCAGCAGCAGCAACAACAGAGGTCCAATCAGAGAGGTCAACAACAAGACCAGCGAGGCCAAGGTCGGAACTCGGTGATAACTGAGGCCGACCAAGTCCGAGCATACCTTGGAGGCCTCGAGCCAAGAGAAGAGTCCGGCGGAGCGGGAGGGCCATGGGAATGCCCAGACTGTGGAAAACTGTTCCGCAGCCTGCAACAGGTTGTGGTCCACGCTCGTGTTCACACTCAGAGGCCCCCAAAAAGAGGTGGCTGTGAAGAGGAGGGGAGTGGTGGGCGTAGAGGAGCGGAGTTTGGAAGAGGAGGTGGTGGTGGTGACATAAGACTGGATTCTCAGCTACACAGTGGTGGATCCCAACAAACGGGAGACGTGAGACAGGAATCAAAACTGCACAGTGGTGGATCACAACAAGCAGGAGCAGCTACGGGGTTTCACTCAGTCATCTCAAACTTCAAAGGTACAATCACATTCATGCTTTTTCTGTTTTGTCTTAAGGTTGTGTTTGCTCACATATGATGGTGTTAGCACAAGAAAATGTTTTTTATACCGCTCTTCTGTTGCAAATAGAAGCTCTCAGGGGGGGCCTTTACACCAGCTGTTATCTTTACATTTTTCCCACCTTCCTTCTCTTGCAGGAGAAAATGGCATGACATCAGTCTCCTCCATTCCTTCAGTTCCCACCAGGGAGCGAGTGCGTGGTAGAGGGATTAAAGACTGCCCCTACTGTGGTAAAGCCTTCCGTTCTTCACACCATCTTAAAGTGCACCTGAGAGTTCACACAGGTGAGAACTGCTGTGGGTTTAACAAACCACCTTTTCTTTTTTTAACCTTTATAAATCCCTGGAAAGGTTTCATTGAGCATCCTCGCTTTAGAAGCACTACTTTTCTCCTTTTAACACATTCACCCAAGAGAGTTGGCTAGTGCTAATCATAGCCGCTTTACTGCAGGCAACTGAGCAGCTCTACCAGAGCAACTTCTGTTTAAGTGCCTTGCTTGAGGGTATATTAACAGTAGTTCTTCGAGGAAAATCAAGCTACTCCAGGGATTCAAACTGTTAAAGTCTCAGTGAAAAGCTCAATCTTTCCCTGGCCTCTAACATATCCCCTAAGAAAGACACAAAAACATGTCTTTTACTACCCAGTAGTGTTATAGTTACCTTTTTTTTCTGAGAATGGTTTGGCAACAGGCTTTTCACATTTATTTTTTGTTAAATTTTTTAGTTTGTAAACTTAAAGTAAATGCTCAGCAGATCTCTCAATAACTCTCAATAACATGCTTGCATTTAATCTCTCTGAAATTCTGATCTCTAAATCTGTCTCTGAAGTCGGCAAATCTGTTATTTGTTTTTTCTTTCATATCTTTCCTGCATACCAACAGTCCATATCAGACAGTCACCACCAGGCTCTCTGAACACATAAAGAAACAAATAGAGCGTTTGAGGATGAAGTTAATGAAAAATTGGAAACTCTCACAGCACTCAGTCGCACTCCATATTCATAATACTTTAATGGCACGAGGCAATAGCATGTCTCATTTGCCTCCATTTGATGTGTACTCGATCACAATTCAGACAATTCTTCCATTTTAGAGATGCCACCAATCCCCAGCAACTGGTAACTGGACCACATCCAAGTCTTTTCAGCAAGACAGTGCCCAAAAAATGCATTGAATTAAATCTTTTTTTTGCCATTATGAATACTCATCCAGAGCTGACAGGACCTATCAAATCACAGTTTTATTATTCATGATGGCATACGGCTCTTTCTCTCATGCTCCATTGCGTCTCTGTACCATCAAGTGATTACCACATGGTCAGTAATTTAAGTGAAGGCATCAAATTATAATAATATGGTCATGATATTGCTGTCTACTTGAGATTATCGCCCCTTAAATTTTTTTATCCCTTTATAATTTCTTGTTAAGCAACGGATCAAACGGTTCACACTTTTGCATGTACATTCGCATTCATTGCTAGAACTGTTTTCTTATTGCGTTCGTTTCCCCCCCCCTTCTTTTAAGAATAAAATCATTCATCCTTTCCATATGTAATACATTTCTGCTTTTGATATACCCCCAGTATGTTGCCCTCTCTTCCATGTCTTTCTGGCAGTGTACTTTTTATCCAGTGATGGAATGCTGCCATCTTCTGTTAAAATGTGTAACTACATTTACAACTGAAATTGGACTCTATTAGTCTTCTTCAATTTGGCTTTCACTGATTTTTTGCTACTTGTTGGAACTCCAATACCCTTTCCCCTGCCTTATTTTGTTTCTTATTTCCTTAAGGCGAGAGACCCTACAAATGTCCCCACTGTGACTATGCCGGTACCCAGTCAGGCTCACTGAAGTACCACCTCCAGCGCCACCACAGGGAGCAACGCAATGCTTTGGCAGCCTCCTCCAATTCCTCCTCCTCTGGCCTCACCTCCACTATCAACACTCTGACCTCTGGAACCTCTGGGCTGGCCAAGCAACGTAGATCCCAGCTCAACCACTGCCCAGTCAACCGAGGCCAAACCGACTCCCCGACCTCTCGGACAGGCCAGCAGTCCTGGCTCCTGGGGCTTCCGGACCAACGGGAGCATCGGAAGGCCCTTGCAGCTCTAAGGGATGTTGATCTGGAGACCCAGTACAGGTATCTGTCTGGGGTGATGGGGGCTCTTTATCAAGGTGGAATGGAAGGGGGCTGGATAAGGGAGGCTCCTGCAACTAAGGCCCCTAAAGTGTCCCGTCGTAAGCCCCTTACTACTAGCCGGATGGTTCAGCCTACAGGTGACAAGGAAGGATCTGCGCCTTCAACTCAAGCAGTAGGGTTTGAACCCCTGGATCTGTCACGTCGCACCTCACCAAGCCTTGGAGGGATGGAGGAGGATGGAATCATGAGTTTAGAGGAAGGCAGAGATGTCGTTGGGGATAGCGGAGGGGACAGTTCAACAGGGGTCAAACTGAGCCAGTGTTTGTTCTGCCCATTCCGTACATCCTCAGCAGAGCTGATGGCAATGCATCTCCAGGTCAACCACACCAGTAAGTCCAGACGCAAAAGAACCCCTTCTACCAACTTGGATGAAGAGGGAGTCCCAAGGGCCACCAAGCCACGGACAGAGCACTCTGACCTGGACTCTCTGGCAGTGTGGAGGCACGGGAGTGAAGTAGAGTCCAAGGCAACCCTGGGGGAATGGTCCTCAACTCAGACCAAGACCCTGAACGGGATCGCCGAAGATAGAGCAGAACATCTGGATGACATCCTCGACCACTCCGACTCCAATATTGCCAACAATGCGAGAGATGGTTTTGCGCTCATGGAGAAGTTCAGGGGCAATGACGGAGAACAAGAAGACGAATTTGAAGAGAATTTGGAGAACAGTAGTTTGGAGGATTCGCAGGACAAGGATCTGAGGATGTCCCTAGCTCTTTCACCAGCCCTGAGCGCCAATCACATGGTGGGGGAGGAGGAACGAGTCTTAACAGACTAACAGGCTTTTTCAAGGCACCACCTCAATGGATTTTCAACTACAGTTAAGGTGGGATAAAAGAAGGAGGGGGTAGCTCTGCAGAGAGAAAAGGGGGTTTAAGGGCAAAGATATATTTGCACCTTAATACTTTCATTTCTGGAGGATTCTTGTTTTCTCCGATCCTTCAAAAGGATGGAGAGAAGAATCACTGCTGTTGTGCTCCCTCCGACATTATTCATCTACCTTATGTCTGACAATGGTCAACAACAAAGTAAAAGCCTGTGTATAAAAGAGCATAGATGCATCGTCTTAGATTTTGGAGGCCACTTTTTCTATGTTTTGTTTCAAGTTTACTTCAAGATAGATGATTTGGAAGAGGACCGCCCATTTCTAAATGAAAGAAGATGATCATTTAGACCTATGGCAGATCCGACATCATTCCACATGCATTTATTCAACACTTATAATGGACTGTTTATCCAAGACTACTATACTGCCCAGGTTAAAGCTTGCTGTAATAGAGATGCTCTCCTGACTGACCACTGAACAGTTTGAAACCTCAAACTTCAAGTTCCTCCGCAGTCCACATAGATATGGGGAAAACGTTGTAGGAAAGTTTCAAGCTGTGAACCTTGGCTAAGCTATTCGGTATTAATTTAAGATATGAGGTAACTGTTGCAGGCTGCGTGCTTTTTCCTCAACTATATATCACTGCCTTGTTTGTCTGAAAAGTGTTTCAAGACGATTGTCCTAAAGAAAAACAGAACGTTTTTTTTTTCTTTTTTCAGTTAGTGCCTGTTCATGTATGTGGTTAAGCGAGTCTCTGGTAATTCTTTGCATCGAGGCTTCGATAGGTCGATTTATTTTATCTGAATATACAGTTTAAAACGATTTAAGTACAGTATATTTGTTCAAAGTGGTTCTAGGGTGTTGTGAATAGTTAAGTTGTAAAAGAAAAGCTACTTTGCAGCGTGATGTCCTTGAAACAGGCTGTAGCCAATTTTTGGTTCAACTTGAGAAGAAAAAAAAAGAAAGCCGTTGGTATAAATAATGAATAATGTGATAAAAGAGGTTCAAAGCTGAGCGATTAGAAAGGGGTTACTGTTAGAAATTCAGTGTTTACAATGGTCCGGGTCGGGTTTGCCAAGCAGCTTAAATGCATGGAAAAAGAACAAAACTACAGAGTGGGAGTCCGGCTGTAGGGACGCAGCTCGAGCCACCCCCCCCCCCCCCCCCCCCCCGAACACAATCAACTGACACACCTTTTCAAAGAGACAGAGACTTAGTAACTGTGTCAAACATGGAACAAGTTCTTTTTTTTCTTCGCTGAAGGGAAGATACAGGTAGAAGGACAAAAACAGAGCAGTAACCCTGCCTAAATCTGAGAAAAAAAAACTGTTTCTCTCTGGGGTACGACGTCTCGTAGATGAGTAGATTCCCTCTCTTCTTCTTTTTTTTATATGAAAAGAAAAGACAATGGTAGGAGTTATTATTAAAAACACTAACAAATGCATAGACATCCCAGTAGAATATGTGTAGCTTTTGTAAAGACGACAAGAAGAAAAAAAAAAAAGAAGCAGACTTTTCTTTATTTTCATTTCAAGATGCTTACAGAAAAAGGTTATCAATATAAGTCATATTGATTATAATGTTCGTGAGCTAAGACTAGTTGGAATGTCTATACAGAGCACTGTGCAAGGTTTGAGTTCCCAAAGTAGTTGTTTTATTTTTTTTTTTGACTTTATGGATAGACCAAACGTTTTTTCAATGGAAGTTGTCAACTTTCTGTTGTCGTTTTAAATGTGTGAAGCTGTGGTTTCAGTAGATTTTACTCCCCATCGATTAGCCGTGTCGCTCATCAGCCATCGGTGTATCAGAGATCCAACCGCTGAACTGGTTGTCAAAGAGAGTTCAGATTCAAACAAAATCAGCACAAAAAGTGCTAAAAAAATGGAAAACAATCAAATATGTTAATTATTGCGATTTGAAGGTATATTAAAGCTCCTGTGAGGAATTTTAGATCCTCTGTCCTATACATTTTCTTAACAGAAAATCTCCTTCTTCTTTAGCATACTTTAGCATCTTGCCCGAAATTGTTTTTTTAAAGGCTGTTTGGTCTGACACCTACCCCCCTGCAGCGGATTCAGACAGTAAAAATAACGATATAGAAATTGCAGATCCTTTTGCTGATGGTTTTGTCTGCTTTTGGAGGTTGTTAACAGACCACACTATTAATTTGAGTCTTTTTCATGGGGGGCTAAAAACTCCTCATGGGAGCTTTAAAGGAAAATCTCTGAACATTAGGCAGTAATACCCCTTTTACACTATTTATCAACTTGGACTACATTTTTATGGAAGGTATTCTATGATTGTGACCACACCTTAATGTGCATTAATGTGTTTAAGTTCCCTTTTTTAGAGCACCTTATGAGTTCTGTAGTGAAAAGTCCCTTAGTGGTGTCTCCTTAACAACTACTGTCAACGCCATCGTGCCTTCTGTTTCAAGCACTTCCTGGTGTATTTTGTAAAACTCACCAAAAGCACTTATTCTATATCTACACACTCTTTCCTCTCTATCTTTGACCTTTCCTCCTCCCCTCTTCTATCATCACCTCAGCCCCATTATTATAATCTTTTTCTTCTCCTGTCTTTTATCTCCTGACCCCTCTCTCCTTTTGGGGGGAAGCTGTTCAAACCAGATTTCTCCACCACAATTCAGGCCCGTTCGGCTTTAAACAAGGCCACTAGGCCTTATTACAATCTAGCATGGCTAGACACTTGAAAGCATAGACTACCTAACCGAGTTAGACGCGTTAAAGTTAATATATATATATGTAGGGTTAGACTACTTTTGGTCGTAATACTAACCCTTGGTAAACCAAAGCCCAAGTCTAAGTGTAACAAATGTTATATTTCATCTCCAAAGGTGCCAAAACATGTCCAATGTGACACTAAAACGTCAGAAAACTTAATCATTCACCTCTCTTTCCTCCCATTTCTCTTACTTTCTTAAACCCCTCTCTCCCTTTCTCTCTCTCTCTCTCTCTCTCTCTCATGCTTGCTCTCTCTCCACGCCCCTCTCTCGTCCGTAAACTGTCGATCTCTAGCACCACTTGAAGGTGACGTGTACTATCTGGTATTGAGGCCTTTATTAGATTTTTATTTCAGTTCGTGTGGTGTTTGTCCAATGCCGTTGAGATGGAAATATGCTCTTCTTATAATGATAATTATTATTGTTTTCTGGCATTATGGTTAAAAAAAAAAAAAACAAGTAACAAAAAAAACAAAAAAAAACAAGAGAAATGTGTTGTTGAATGTTGTACAGATAGCACTAGAGATGTTGTGTTTTTTTAAAGAGAGCACAAACCCGAGTGATGGTCCCTTCTGCTCCTCCCACCGGCAGACGGGAATAAAACAGCCTGCCGATCAATCCAAATGTCTGATGTGACAGAAATTGTCTCTTGTGATGAAAAGAGTTTCTCAACAAATTGATTGTGTATGAAGAGTTGTTCTGCGGAGATTTGAATGTAGAAAGGGCAGCCGTTGACTCGAACTTATTTAATTTCCTGCACAGCAAAAAAATGAAAATTGTCTAAGAGACTTAAAATCTGCACTCGAAGATTAGATTTCCACACTTATGGAGAAATCTACCCAACACCTAAGAGTCAGACAATCACATGGGACGCTTTTTATGTTTGCATACGCAGCGGAAAGTATGTTCAGCCATTTTCACATAAACACTCCTGAAAACTTTGAGACATGTAGACATCCCTACATCGTCTAAAGAGCACAAAGAAGATACTGGTGAACAAAAAACAAAGAAGCAGATTCGTTTCACCGGTCTCGTGCAAACAGTCTTTTTAGTGCAGGATATAAATGTCGTCACCGCCTCCTGCTCGCTGTGCCCCCACATTAGCCCACTCTGACGAAAAAAGGAACATTTAGTAGAAGGCTGGCGGGGAAAACTTCTGGGTAAAGTCGGAGTCAAAATTCCAGCTGTTTTTCAGGAGTTTTGTTTGACATCATTTCAGCTCACATATATTGATGTAAGAGGAGGACGCTTTGCTTATTTAAACTTCCTGTCACATGGAAATGTATTTGAAGAGATGTTAAGAGATTTAACCAGACGTCTGTTTTTTGCGGGCTTCAGACCCCAGCGGGGAAAGAAAAACTCATTTTGGGGGATAAAAGGGTTCCACACTACTTTGCGTTAAAGCAAAATGTGAAATCATTTTGTCTGACTCTTAGTGTTGTCTCTAGAAAAAGTACTTAAATTTTTCATTTGCACAACAGAACGTGACGTAGCTCCAATGTGAATTTTCAAACAAATGTGAAAAGCGCACCTTATCTCTCCTGATTGTAAATCATTTATTTCACACTGAAGAGAACTCTCAAATTAAGTTTGCATCATACGGGCTGATCCTTCATTGGTTAGTAAAGACTTTTAATGGTTCTGAAGGTGTTGTTTATTTGAAATGACAAATCTCCTCGAGGTGAGGGGGCCATGCTGGGTTTGGGCTCTTGTGTAGTTTACTGCCATTGCAGTGAGGGAAAACTGATCTAACATAGTAGTGACTAATATGACTTTGTGGACAGATAAAAAAAAAATAAAATGAAAATAAAATGCATTAGAAATAAATAAACACAAACAAATGAAGCGGGTCTTTCTTGTTCATGTTTTTTCTGTGATTTCTTTTTTTTCTTAGCTCTTATGTTCATCGACTCTGGATGTGAAGATTTACAAACTGACTTCCTCTTACGCTTGAGACTAAATATTCTTTATGTTAAGAGACGTTAAGGATGTGTCAGTGAATGTACAGGGTGAATCAAGTCGCTTTAAATCGCTGTGGTTTGTTTCTCAGAGCAAAACAAGAGTTTGAAAAGGGGGCCCTCTTGTGGCTGAAAGTAGAAGTGCGAGAAGATGGCAAACGTTCAGAAGGGTTAGGAACTTAGGACCCTTAAACATTGTTTATATGATTAATATGTTTAGAATATGATGTCAGCATTTAAGCCTTTTAAAAATAATTTTATCTTACTTTCTCGAGATATTTACCAACTGTACTTGCTATCTTACAAAATAAGCTAAATGAAAGTTTTTTAACCAAATCACCACAGGCCAAGTTTCAACAAGTAGCTCACCTGTTCAACCAAATAGTGAATTTCTCAGATGGGAATGTATGAACATTTTGTTTAGCTCTGGGGATGCTGAATCCTCCAGTTTATGAGGAAGAAGAAACCAAAGAAGGAAGCAGCTTACAAACACTTGTTGGGTCTAAAATCCTGGTTTGGGAGCCATTAGTCTACAATTACAAAAAAGAGCTTAGGGGAAATCTTACACAGCTTTTTTTTTGTAGTTGTGTATGGTCAAGTCTTAGAAGCGTTTTTATTACCCTTTTTGAAATCATGTGGCCATTCTTTTTGGATGTTTACTGTACATTCATAACACATAAAGTGAAGTTGGCTGGATACGAAGAATCGATCAACTCGTGCCGTTTGGGATGAATTTCCGGCCATGATGTTCAGTTGTTTCCATGAGTAATTGGGAAATGTAGATACACTGTAAAAAAATAAAACGTATAATTTACAGTAAAATACTGGCAGCTGTGGTTGCCAGAATTTTACCGTAAAAAAGACGGTGACAATGTATAAGACATTACGGTAAATTTTACGGTAAATGTAGTGTGAAACACTTCACTGTAACTCTTTGTGTCAGCAAGCATTTGCAGCTTCAATACAACTTTAAAAAAGCTTCTTTAGGGGCTTTTTTCTGCCTTTATTTAGAGATAGGACAGTGGCCCCATTGCCGCCCATAAATATAACTCTTAACCACTAGCAAATATGAAGGCTGAGAAATGGCCGTTGGTATGCAGAGTGTGTTGCTAACATCCGTTATTACCTTGAAAGATCACTGCAGACATGAGAGTGTCCTCCTCAGGCATCCACTAATTAATCCTTTCCTGGTTATGTGTACCTGGAGAGAGTTTACAGCGGCCTCCAGATCCCCAGCCCAGGACCGGTGTGATGAAAGTATGTCATTAAATATGATGCGAGGGCGCCCTCTGGTGGAGAAGTTTGAGAACAGGTTGAAGTCCTGCTCTAGATAAAAGATCATTAATGAAGTTACATTCATTGAAAAAAGAAGTATTTAATCATGCAAGCTAAAACTTTTTTGAACTATTTTGGTCGTTTTAAGTGAGCAGAAAGCCTTCATAAATACAGAAGTAGTTTATTTTCCTTCAAAGTAAATGTTTGATTTTATGATTATGGTGTCATGCTTAAAGACTACCTCTGGTCCAATCAGGCTTACATGACACCTTTATTCTAAGAGGCCAAAAGCACAATTTGACAGATTACATTTGATAATATCAATAAATAAACCATCCTGACGCTTCTCAAAAGTGGCCAACACATGCATTAATTCCATCCTGTTGTCATCAGTGCACCAAAACCTTTCAGGATTTTGAGGTGTTCCTAACTCGTCATAAAAAGGGACAATAGAAATAAAAATGTCAATCATTTTGAAACCTCAAATGCTTCAAACAGTAGCCATCATCTGAGTTCCTCCTGGATGTATTTTTTAAAATCTGTCGACTTGAAGAGCCAGAGGACGGATTCTTGTTCTGCTAAGATCTCTGACTGTTACCTTAAAGTAACGTTCAGTAACCATACTGTGCTTGATCTGGATATATGTCAGTAATATATCATTTAAACATTTTTCTTCAATTCCAGAATTAAACCCATGTCCAGAGCTAATCTATTTACGATGCCAATGTGAATAATTTTTATAGATATATAGGTAGGTCTGTTTTTATTCAGCTTCCTCAAAAACTGACGCTCTGAAGTCAACAGGGATTTAAAAAGAAATCTTAATATAGGCAGGAAAAACTTGTTAAAATAAAAAAATTCCCTTTCAAGAGTGTCACTGCCGAGACATTCAGCAGCACAGTTATCAAAGTTTGTGAGCATGAGCAGCTAAACCTACAAACATAATATAAGATTTGTGACTATAATACATTTAAAAAGACACAAAATAAGAAAGTATAAAAGCAACAATTTGCCAAGAATGAGCACGATTGTAAATAAATCAGGTTAGAACATCTACAGTCAGATGTGTCGGCCTTCTAGTCATACATCACCTCAACATTGTCCAATGAGATTAGCTCGTCAAGTTTCAGGTCTTTTTGAAACTCTACTCAATCCAAGAGAGCAGCTAACTTGAAAAAAAAGAAAAAAAAAAATCAGGCCTGACGTTTAAAATCAACATTAAGATATTAAAATAAACACTCTTCTGGACCAGGGGCGTCATGCAAGCCAGAATAGAAAGCCAAAAAATTAAGAAATGTCAAATTTCTCACGTCCTTATTACAATGTTATAACAACCAAATTACAAAAGCCCGACTAAATCTAACACAGAGCTCTGACATATTATAGTCCAATTAAACCAACATGCTTAGTTTTAATCATCATCATGAGACTTTCATAACTGCCTCCCAGAGATCAGCACCTTAACCTGCCGGATGAACATCACCATCACATCCTTCAAACTGGGGCTTCAGCTCCCCCATGGCATGATGCTACTTCTTCTGACTGATGTTCACTTGAAGGTACGAAAAGGAAAGAGACCAAAAAAAAATAGACTTGTAAATAAGAATATGCCAATGTTTGAGTCTCAGAGGAACACGTAGATACAGGAAACAATGCTCAGAGAGGTCTTTTAATATCTTCATACTACAAAGACAACAACTCTATGACTCGGTTTAACGTTGTAAAAAAAAAAAGGGAGGTTTGGGAGAATAAAAAATAGCTGTAAAAACAGAAAGAAGAAAAAGTAAATGTTCATATCATGTAGCCTAATACGCACACATCTCTCATCCACCTGTATTATTGTATGTTCATATCACCTCAATAAGTTATCGACCTGTACAGTATGTCCATATTCTGTATATTATCTATAATCTAGTATAGCATGCTCACTGCACCTTAATCTGTATATTATAATCCTAAGAATATACTCATATTTATAGCATTTATTTATATTTATAGCATCCCATTAATCCAGCCATATATACCTAATAATTCACTTTTTTTTAGTCTACATCTGCACATTTTCTAATCACTTGTACATAGCACAGATTCTTACACTTTCTGCTTATTTGCACTTCTGGTGAGATGCCAAACCTCATTTCGTTACTCTATACTTGGAAGAAAAGTTGAATCTCTCATCTCATCTCATTTCCTCCTCATTGCATTCCTCACTGTCGTGCGATTTGCTTCCACAATTGGGATTTTATTTTGAAAAGGCAAAACCGGAAATCATACATGTACTCTGTTCATCTTGACAAAAGCGGCGTGTGGAAAAATGTAATCCCTGTGCTACAATGGGGGAAACATCAACCCCTGTTGCATAGTGTTTAGAAAATGCTTTAAAAACACACACACACACACACACAACTTAAACCTCGTGGATTTATTAGCTGTGGGCTGACATTAGAATTCAGTCAGTATTATTTTTTAATGAAATTAATGAATGAATGAATGTAGAACATCAATTAACAGCAGTCCGAGACAGGCAGAGTTAAACTGCTCCAGGGTTAGTTTTCTTATTATGTTCCTATTAGCCTACATCTCTGTACCGGGGCAGTAGTCTGCTCCCTGGTGACTGGTTGAGCCTGAGTGGGCGAGACACAGAGAGAGAGAGAGAGAGAGAGAGAGAGAGAGAGAGAGAGAGAGAGATCCTGTTGCCCATAAACCGCACCGTTACAGGCACTAAAGCTTCCTTCCATCATCTGTACCGGAGGAAGAAGAACCGAGCATCACTTCACTCTGTCAGCTCCCGGACTCCTGAGTGAATCATCTCCATCTCGTCAAAAACAAAACAAAAAAAAAACACTGCGGCACTTCCTCCTCCTCCTCCTCTTCTTCTTCTCCTTCTTCATCTTCTACGGGCTTTGGCTTCGGTTCTGACAGTGAGACGGGGTGCAAGAGGAGACCGGCTGTGAAAGTCCACTTCTGCTGCAGAACTCCCTCCACGCGCGTGTTTTTTTTTTCCAAGATGAGCGAGGTGAGTGTGTGTGTGTGTGTGTGTGTGTGTGTGTGTGTGTGTGTGTGTGTGTGTGTGTGTGTGTGTGAGAGGAAACACTCGGCGCAGCTTTACAGGCGCACAGTTATTGTGTGCACCTTTTTTTTTTCGTTTTTTCCACACTATTACAGGAAACGAGTCAACATCACGCACCTGTGCGGAATTAACCGTGACATATCTCTCTCCAACCAAGCATGCGCAGGCAGTTAGACTCCCAATATTTATTACTCTACCCCCCGCTCCCCCCCCTCCTTTAAATTAAAAAAAAAAAAAACACCGCAACCGAGGTGCAGTTAAAGCGAGAACAAAATGTTTCAGCGCAGTGCTCTTCACTTCTTGTTGGCATTGCTCCCAAGTCTGACAGAAACACCGCAATGAGAGACAGCAGCAGCAGCAGTGACACCAGCTCACATCGCCAGCGGGCACTGTGAAACATCTGGTGGAGTGGAGCATGAGGGTTTCCCCAACGTACGGTCCGGGGACCTCCGAGGGGCCTCGTCGGCGCTATACAGGGTCCTTAATATCGAGATTTAGTCTAAAAAAAAAATGACATTCTGACTCGTTAGGATTGCACAGAT